AAAAAAAATTTAAAAAAATAAAAATAATAATAATAATAAAATAAAATAAATAAAAAATAAAAAACAAAAACAACAAAAAAAAGTTTGTAGCAGCCCAACTGATAAGAGCCCCAAACTGGGTGGAATAGTATACAGCATGAAGATGAACAGACTCCTGCTACATAACTTACATAAATCTCAAAAATAAAATATTAAGCAAAAGTCAGATACATGGAAATAAATGCTACATGATTCCATTTATATAAAGTCAATTATAAGTGTAACACATCTATAATGTTTGAAGTCCAGAAAAATGGTTACCTTGGAAAGGGAGCCAGAAGTTAGCTTCTGAAACCAAGTAAAACTCTTTTTTGATCTAGGGACTGAATACAAGGGTATACACAATGTGTGAAAATGCAGTGAGTTGTACACTTACGATTCATAAACTTTTCCATATGTCTGTTACTTTAAAACGTAAGCCACAGAAAAGATTTCTATAAACTCCATGTCACTAAAGGAAAATCTGGTATATTTCCCTTCATTTATCTGACTTCTCATTAACTCTCATCAAGGACATGTCTTAATTCCTATGACCTTATATAGAAAAGTCAGTTTTATTTTCCTTTTATTGGTGTAGTATTGCATAGGACACCCAAATGATTATGTAATCGTCGTTTTACATTCATTCCATACCAGATGCCAAAAAAAAACTGAAATGTAAGTTGTGATAGTACGTTAAAGTTATCTGGGGAAGAAAAAAAATCCTTGAAATAGTTTTGTCTGGCCCTTTGTTTTGGTTTACCACTGTCTACTACCGCTGTGATTTAACCTACATAAAATGCCCCAAAGCGCTTTCGAAAAGCGCTGTTCCACTGTTCGAGTGGAAAGTTGTTTCCTTCTACTATCCTTGTCTAATAATACAGCTATCTTGTGTTTATCCAGTTTCCTCCATTCATGAGCGTAAAGTACCTCGCAAAACTGTTGTATGGTATCACCTTCCACTTAAGAGAAAAGTGGGTCCGCTGACATTGCGAATCCAAAAAGCTAACAGTATCTTTCTAGAGCCTGACTCATCCAGCCTAATGAAGCTCCGCATTCTTTACCCACACTTAATATAATGAGAACTGAAATATAAAACTACTTTGTGACTCTCTCAAGGGCACAGAGTCGATCGAAAAGAGGCTGAAACAAGACTGGAACCCTCCTAATTCGCCGCGACTCGGGAGAAAAACCAACAAAAATCTACCCCCCTAAACGCTCAGCTGCCGAAGTTTTACCATAGGAAAGGAGACGATGACGAAATCCTGCCCAGAAGGAGGTGTATGTCACCTGAAGACCCCAGGTCACCGACCTTCCAGGGAGCCCCATCACTCCGGCCTCAAGGGGCCAGCGTCGGCCGGGTGCACTTTTTGCGCGGCTCCTTCTCTAAAGGGGGCGGCGGCCGGAAATTCCAGGGCTGGTCTGCGTCCACCCCACATTCCCTGGGCGCGCAAACCTCCCAGACCCCCAGTTTACCTGAGATGCGCCAGGCTCCGCCTGAGCAGCCTACTCTGCGCTCGCCCAGAGTTTCTCAGGCCGGACGCGGAGCCTCCGCGTCAGCCAATCGCCGCTCGCTGGGAGCCTCCGGCCCCGGCTCCCCCGCGCGCTGAGGTTCGCGCGCCCCAAAACAACCCTGTGGGGCGGGGAGCGGTGGGGGCCAGCTGCACACAGCGCGCGAGGGCGGGGGAGGAGCGGAGGAGGAGCTTATCGGGCATGCGCGGGCGGTGCCTCCAGGACTGCGGGGTGGGACCTTCAGTCCAGGCGGCAAGACAGCTGGACAGTGCTCGCAGTATCTTTCAGAGGGCAAGAGGTGCGGTGCACATTCTAGGAGAGCAACACCTAGAATGGACAAAATGGACAAAATCTGATCTGGTTAGATGAGGGAAAATGCTTGATTAAAAAGTGTCTTAGGTGGGACCAGCAGTTAGCGTAATGGCTATGTCACTGGACTCCCATGTAGTAGAGCGCGGTTCAAGTCCCGGACCCGGTGGCTTAAAATTAACGCTGGCCGCGTGCGTGCCCAAGATCCCAAGAGGAGAATGGAGGAGAAGGGACTGCGGCGTGGCCATCCCCCCCCGGGGGGGGGAAGGGTGAGTTCTTGCTTTCTGTCTCTCTGTCTCTCTCAGTCTGCCTGGCGAGCGCACACGCCTTGTAGTAAAAAACAAACAAACAAACAAACAAACAAACAAAAAACAAGAACGAAACCCGGCTTTCTCTCTCAAAAAACAAAACAACTGTCTTCGGGTAGGCAGTTGCGTAATGGCTATGTCGTTGGACTCCCATGTAGTCCACAGTGGTTCAAGTCCTGGACCCGGTGGCTTAAACTCACGCCAGGCGCATGTACATACGTGCCCAAGATCCCCGGAGGCGAAGGAATTGCGGCGTGGTAATCCACAGGTGGGGGGGGTGGGGGGAGAAGTGATTTGTCCCTTTCTCTCTCTCTGACTCTTTCTGGCGAGCGCCCTCGTCCTACAGCAAAAACTTCTCAAAAAAAAAGTCGCAGAAGGCGAAGCATTTATGTCGCTGGGCTCCCATATGGCTGATCATGGTTTGAATCCCAGACCTGGTGGCTTAAAATTCACGCTGAGCGCGCCCCTGCGTGTGCATGTGTGTGTCCGTGTGCACACGCGGGTGTTTCCAAGATTCCAGGAGGAGAATGAGAAGGGACTGTGGTGTTGCCACCCACTCCCCACTCCCACCCCTCTCTGCCCAGGGGGCAATTTCTCACTTTTCTTCTTACTGTCTCTCTCTCTCTCTCTCTGTCTCTTTCTCTCTCTCTGGCAAGCACATGGTGGGGAGAGGTGGAGGTGGACAAAAAAAAACACCTTTCCTGTGGCCTCCATTTTAGTGCTGTTGGGTTTCCTTTTGCTGCTGGCAAAAATCTGGTAGCCATTTCCATGAGTAATGCAAAGGAGAACCAAAGAGGGAGAAAGGAGTTTATTTAGCTGAATTGGAGCACAGGTAGTGGCCCAGAACTTAACAACTCACAATCAGCTGTCAGAACAGAAAGCTCCAGCACTGTTCCACTTTTTGGTTATCCATTGTTATCTTTAACAAATTCAGCTAGTTCAGTGTAACTCTCATGATTTTCTCAAGATTGTTTTGTGCACCTTTTCCTTTCACATGACACCGTTTCTGTTCTTGTAGAGACATTGAATCGGTTAATTAAGACTTGTAACATACACTGATACATAAAGGGAAGCTACAACATATTTTCTTTAAGCTAAACTATTTAACAAAACAATCTAAACATCTGTAACCATTATGGTAAATTACAATTTTATTAAACTTTTACATTTATCCTGTTACATTGTGTCCCTTGAGCAAACATTCTCATTCTCTCCTCTTCTTCTAAACAAACAGGCCTATTTATGACTTTATGTGTTATAATAGTTACATATTACATTAGTTACAGAAGCTGCAAACACCAGTTGATCTTTAAAGTATAAGAAAGAGAAATTCAATAATAAAGGAGGTGGGGCAAAAACAAACAAACAAACACAAAAAAAACAGAGTTAAAAAAGCATTTGTTGCAGACCAGCAGATGTTGTAATAGTTATGTCACTGGACTCCCATGTAGTCGACTGTGGTTCGAGTCCTGGACCCAGTGGATTAAAACTCATGTGGGGCACATGGGTGTGCATGCCCAATCCCAAGAGGAAAATGGAGAGGGGATTGTGGATTGTGGTGGGCCATCCAACCTGGAGGATGATTCTCACTGTCTCTCTCTCTATCTTTCGAGTAAGTGCATGCACCCTGTAGCAAAAAATCTCTCAAAAAAAAAAATCTTTCTTTTTTTTTTTCTGTTATGCTTTGATTTGGTATGAGGAGGGAGAACAGGGATGGGGCAGGGGAAGAAAAGAGTGTGTTGCCAAGTGATGGTCGAATGGAAAGGGACAAGATCTGGCTCCAGTGGAGTGAGCAAAAGTGATATCTGGCACTTAGATGAAGAATGGGTCGGGAACAAGCAGTTAGCGTAATGGCTATGTCGCTGGACTCCCACGTAGTCAACCGTGGTTCGTGTCTCGGACCCGGTGGCTTAAAACTCATGCCGGGCGCGTGTGCGTGCGTGCCCAAGATCCCGAGAGGAGAATGGAGGAGAAGGGATTGCGGCATGACCATCCCCCCTGGGGGGTGATTTCTCGCTTTCTGTCTCTATGTCTCTGTCTGTCTGGCGAGTGCATGCGCCCTACAGTGAAAATCTCTCTCAAAAAAAAAAAAAAAAAGAAAAAGAAAAAAAGAATGGGTCAGACTGAAACTTTAAAGCTAGGGACTTTTTTGAATCAAGTACTAAAAAGACACCTGGATTCTTTTTTATTTATTTATTTATTTTTGGAGAGGTTTTAGCCATAGGGCATGTGCACTTGCCAGGCAGAGAGAGACAGAGAGACAGAGAGCAAGAAATCACCCCCTGGGGGGATGGCCACGCCGCAATCCCTTCTCCATTCTCCTCTCAGGATCTTGGGCACGCATGCACACGAGCCTGGCGTGAGTTTTAAGCCACCAGGTCTGGGACACGAACTGCGGTTGACTACGTGGGAGTCCAGCGACATAGCCATTACGCTAACTGCTGGTCCCGACACCTGGATTCTTAACATTCAATATGTAGGGGCTGGCAGGGGGGGTGGGGGGTGGGGGCGCCGGGATCTCAGCAGTTCGAGTCCCAGACCTGGTGTGGTGGCTCTCTCTCTCTCTCTTTCACTCTGTCTCTCTCTGGTCAAATTAAAATAAAGAAGCAAATAAAATAAAGTTAAATAAAATAATTCTTTTAAAAAAACATTCAATATGTAAATCCTCTAAGGCAAAATACTGAACTTTGCAAAATTAAAAAATACATATAACAGTAGAATCCTCAATTTGTCTAATTCCATGTTGAAATAAGAAAGGACTAACATAATTAGCTGCTAATAATTCAAATATAGTTACACTGGTCCACAGGTCAGAACTGCTTTTAAAAAAGTCACTTTAATTCCTGTTACTCATTATTCTTTTGGACACCAAATATTTATTGAATACATACTATGTGCCAGGTATGCTTTTGGATGCTGGATAATAAGCAGTTTTTACCCCCTACAACCACAGAGAACCGGTGTAATATGGAGTGTTACCAGATTTCTAGTTAACCATTGTTAGAGTTAATGAAAGCAACTTATACTTCAGTAAATGTTAAAAAAAAAAAAAAAGGACAGAGAGAGTGTGTGTAAAAAAAGAAATGAAAAAAACAGGATATAAATTATAAAATGGGTTGTAATCACAAAATTTCAGTTATGTTATAATGAAAAATGTTCTAAAGCGGTTTATTACATATTCAGCTTTGATATGTGTTTGTTTTACTTCAGGTCTCTATCAGATATTTATGTACACAAAGCATAAAACTATATAAGAAAATGGTCAGCCTTGGTGGCCCAATCAGTAAGCTTCTGAGCTGCAGTGCTGGAAGTCATGTGTTCCACACAAGAGTAGGGGTCAGATCCCCTACCAAGTAGACCTGGCACATACTGGGAATACCCAAGATCCTAATAAGCTGGTGATCTGGGGGCATGGGACCTCAGCATGATGAGATCTTGTTTCAGGTGCTTTTTCAACCCCCCAAATGCAGGAGACAAAAAGATGGGTTAATATAGTTTGTCAACATAGATCTCCAAAGCTTTATGGCCAAATCAAATTGTGTGTAAAAGAAGGGAAAGTTGCTTTTCCTGGTTATAAAATAAGAATGCTTAGGAGATAGGGTCTATAACACTGAGAAAATTGGAACCAAAAAATGAATTGGTAGGGTAATTTTAAGGAAAGTGACTACATTGGGTTGTCAGAAGAGTCATGACATAGTTTCCTAGATCATTTATTTATATAGAGAGCAAAGATCAATCAATGATATGTTTCCCATTTTATTTAATAACCTTTTGCCATCTTTCAGTGAGCTTCATAATTCCTCATTCACAGAAGGACCTGTCTTTATCAGTGAAAAACTGAACAGGGTGCTTATTTACAGCCTCATCTCAATTGAATGTTATATCATACAATGAGTTAGGTGAAGAGAGCGAAACATGAGGAAATCTGATGGCACAAAGTCAGGCAAAGTAGGGTGGGTATGGCAACACATACCATCCAAGCTTCAATAATTTTAGTGATCAAACTTGTGTGTGGTCTTGTGTTATCTTCATAGAACACAACTCCTTTATGATCAACCAGCTCTGGACATTTCTGGTTGATGGATTCATTCAAACTGTCCAGTTGCTGAATTGATTTGAATTGATTGTTTGGTTCTTTGATAGGAACTCGAAAAAAAAAAAAAAAAAAAAAACAATACTTTAAAATCCCACCACACTGAGAGTATGACCTTCCTCTGATGAATATCTGCTCTTGATGTCATTTGAGGCAAATCATCATGTTGGGACCCAGATTATTTGTGCACTATATTGTAGTAAACAATCCACTTCTCATTACCAGGTATTGGTTGCTTAAAATAGGGTCATTTTTCTCACATTTAATGAGCATATTGCAGATGTTTATACATGCTGTCAAATTAACTTCTTTGAGTTCATGAGGAATCCAAATAATCAAGCTTGCTTATGTGTCCCAGGTTCTTCGAGTGGTCGTGAATGCTTGAATGCTGGATGGTCAATGTTTCTACATTCTCTTGTGTTGTGTAACATGGGTTCAACTCCATCAATGCCTTTATTTTGTCATCAACTTCAGTGGGTCTCCCTGACCAAGGAGCGTCAATGCCTTTATTTTGTCATCAACTTCAGTGGGTCTCCCTGACCAAGGAGCGTCATTGAGGTCAAAATCAGCAGCACAGAATTTCACAATCATTGTCACTGATGTTCTTGTCACCATAAACTTTACTAACATTTCACCAGCTTGATACATGCTCTTTCCTTTATGGAAGTAAAACAGTAAAATATGACAATGCACAGTTTTGTCTTCCATCTTCAAATTGTTGTACATTCTCTAAAACTCAACAAAATTACTTAATTTTCTTTTTTAGAAAAAAGTACTCTAGTACTTCCAAAAATAAAGTAGCACCATATGTTGCAAAAATGCACCATGACATTCCCAACAACCCAATAATATTTTTCATTGGGAAAGTATTCCAAAGTCTATAAAGTACTTTTATTTTTAAGGTTTTTGCCATAGGGCACGTGTGCTCACCAGATAAAGACAGTGAGAGGGAAAGTGAGAAATCACCCTCCCAAGAGAGGTTGGTAGCTGGCAATCCCTTCTCCTCTATTCTCCTGGGATTTGGGGCACACATGCACACAAGCCCAGTATGATTTTCAAGCTATCAGGTCCAAGATTCAAACCACAGTTGGTCATGTATGAGTCCATCACCTTAACCATGATGCCACCAGTTGGCCCCCATAAAGTACATTTTAAAACCCATTATCTGAGTGCTTAAAGTTTCCAGGGTAAAGAGAAACTACATGTTTATTTTCCTTTCAATAACCTGTTTTTTTCTTCTCCCCTTTTTATTCAGTGAGTTCTAAATATTAGGACTAATTCTCATTAGTCCTTTCTCTAACTTAACTGAGGTAACTAATTAATGCTCTTTCCCGAAACATTACATATCACAATAGCTACTTTTTCCTTACTCCCTTCTACCACTAAAACCCGCATATACTATATTACCTTAGTCTCCATTCTGCTGACAGTTGCCTGTATACAAGAAATGAAAGGTAGTAGTTATAGCTTTCTTTGTTTATCTCAAGCTAATTATCAAAGATGTTGTCTATGCCCTCATCTCTCCTCATATGCTGAGCTTTCATAAAAATGTGGATGAAAATTAAAAGAAGAAAATGAACTCCTCTTTTATTACAGAGAACAAAGGAATGTTAGATCATGAATATTCGCAAGTTTGTAAATATTGGGCTTTCACAATGTGTCAGGCACTCCAATTAGTTCTGAAAATAAAATAATGAATAAAAGATATGCATGTAAGTACTTGAAAATATCATTTGTACTAGTTGGGGGTTCTCCAAAGAAACAGAACTAAAAGGATTTGTGTGTGCTCGTGCATGTGTGTGTGTGTGTGTGTGTGCATGCACACATGCACAGGCAGGCACAAAGAGTGAGAGAGAGAGATTGAGATTTACTGTAAGGAATTGACTCATACCATTGCAATTATAGAAGTTTAGTGAGTCTAAAAGCTAATGTGGAGGAGGCTGGTGGGCCTCCTCTAAGAGTTGCAGTTCAAGTCCAAGGGCAATCAGAATAGAGATCTAGTCAATGTTGCAGTTCAAGTCTGAAGGACTTCTGCTCTCAGAAATCATTCTTGTCTTAGGGAGAGGGGTTATGACTCTTTGTTCTACTAAGAGCTCACATTATGGGATATATTCTGCTTTACAGAAGTTCACTGACTTAAGTATTAATATCATCAAAACCAAACACTTTCACAGAAACATACATGATAATGTTTGAACAAATGTCTGAGTACCATGACCCAAACAAGTTGACATATAAAATTAACCATTTCACCATGTAAATTGATAAATGGCTTTGGGGGAAGATGTTTAGGGGACAAGGAAGATAGAATCAGGGAGATCTAGAAGTGATAATTCCAGAATCTTCTTTAAATATGGATAGGAGTGAACAGGCAAAGAGGCAGGAGTGGAGGTAAAAAGAAAACAGAATTAATTATAGTGGAATCAATATGGAACTGAGAATCAATATGGAAGTGAGAGACTATAGAAACTGTAAATATTTTAGTATTATCAAAATATTAAATTTAAGATAAAAAGTGAAAAATTAGGTTGGAAAATTATGTAGACTCTTTCATTTTTATTTATATACTTCAGATTTGATTCTATGGTTGATAGAAATTTAATATTAGACAGGAATGATGCAATCCAATTTGTATTTTAGGTAAAATATTCATCAGTTGGAAAATGTACTTCAGAATCAAGGTTCTCAAGGTAGAAAGAATAGTTAATCTAGAAGGAAAAAATGATAAAAGGTATGAGGTAGGCTGGATAGACAAAAGGATGAATTAAAGAATATGAAATAAAGCTTTCAGAATTCAATAAATAGTTAAGAAAGGGAATTGATCTTAGAGGAATGGGTGTATAAGTAAATTCAGTTTTGTGAGTTTGAGTTGGTTGGGTAGCATCTAAAAGTTTTCCAACAGTCAGAATACAATCCACATGCAAGGAAGTGCTCTAGATACTGGTGATAAAGACATAAGAGCTATTAACCCAAAAGTGGTGATCAGAGCTATTATTATGGTTTGTTCCCCAAAGTTTTGTGTTTTGGAATTCTATATTGGGGTACAATGAAGCATCATAGGTGGTGATTTGTTCATAGTGATTGCATCATGGAGGCAACATTCTTGTGAGTAGATTAATGATGTCACTCAAGATTCAGTGAGTTTAAAATCTTATGACAAGAGGGTAATTCTCCTGAAAGCTGGTTGTCATAAAGGAGAGCGAGAGCAAGCTGTTTCTTCTTCTCCACACACCTACCAACTTCCGTACTTGATCTGGCCATGTAGTATGCTTAGGGCTTTGAACTTTTCAGGCACTAGAATTGTAAGTCTGTTAATAAACCTCTCTCTTCTTTATAAAATCACCCAGGCTCAGGTATTTCTGTTGGCAATGCAAAAATGTCCTAAGATAGCTATTATTAAAATTTTGAAACCAAATCTTATAACATTCTCATCTATTAACCATTTGGTAAATCACCTGCCTCTAGGATAATGATCACTTTGTAAAACTTAATACAAGGAGAGGTCTTCCAAAATGTCACGTAGAATGAATACTATATAAAAAAAAAATGCCTGGATTTCATTTTTTTATAAAAATAAACTTGTACTAAATTGTTATAACATGTTTGAATAGAATCTAGTTTATGGCAGTAAGAAGAAATAAGACATCAGTTTGGAAAGAGCCTCTATCAAAGCAACATGAATTCTAAAACTGAAGCAAAAACCAAACACCAAATTTATGGCAAAGCTTGCATGGAAGAATGGTGAAATCAGTGAAACTTTATGAAAAGATTATGGGCACAATACCCCCCAAAAGATTAGCAGTTTACAAATGGGTAACTCATTTTAAGGAAGAATGAGTAGCCAGTAGGTGGCATGGAGGTAACTGAATCCCACATGACTGACTGATGAGTAGTTCAAATCCCGGACTCAGCAACGAAAAACATGCCAGGCTTGTGTGTCCGTGCCCTAAGTACCAAGAGAGGAATGGAGGAAAAGGGATTGTAGTATGGCTATCCTCCTTGGGGGTGATTTCTCCCCTCTTTAGCTATCTATGTTTCCCTCCAGCAAGCACATGTACCCTATAAGAAACTTTAAAAAAAAAAAAAAAAGAAAAGAAAAGAAAAGAAGAGATGAGATGATGATGTTGAAGATGGTGCTCACACTGGCAGACCACTCACTTCAACTGGCTATAAAAATTTGGAGGAAAAGGGATTGTAGTATGGCTATCCTCCTTGGGGGTGATTTCTCCCCTCTTTAGCTATCTATGTTTCCCTCCAGCAAGCACATGTACCCTATAAGAAACTTTAAAAAAAAAAAAAAAAAGAAAAGAAAAGAAAAGAAGAGATGAGATGATGATGTTGAAGATGGTGCTCACACTGGCAGACCACTCACTTCAACTGGCTATAAAAATTTAAAGTTGAGCTATTCTTTTTTTTTTTTTTTTGCTCTTTGGGTGCCAAATGTTATGCCTACATCAGTTGCACACAAGAACAGAGCTTTCAGTGGAAAGTTTAAACAGGTGGGATCAAAATCTTGAAACTTTTCTTCGAAGAATTGTAACTGGAGATGACCCATGGCTTTATTAGTATGATCCTGAAGGCAAAACAGAATCAAAGCAATGGCTATCAAAACATGGAAGTCATCCAGTCAAAGCAAAAGGAGACCAGTCAAGAGCAAAGGCCATGGCAACAGTTTTTGGGGATACTAAAAACATTTCGCTTATTGACTTTCTAGAGAACCAATGAATTATAACAGCTTCTTGCTTTGAGAATATTTGAGAGAGTTAGCTGAAGTTTTAGGAGACAGTCTCCTTGAAAAGCTTCACCAGAGAGCCCTTCTCTACCACAACAATGCTCCTTCACATTCTTCTCAGTAAACAAGGGCAATTTAACAAGAGTTTCTGTAAAACCATTAGGCATCCATCTAACTGTCCTGATTTGGCTCTTTCTGTGTTCTTTTTGTTTTCTAATCTTAAAAAATCTTTAAAGGATGTTTTTCATGCTGCCAAGACCAGGATTTAAACCACGCGGTCAGCCAGATGGGATCCAGCTCCCTTTAACCACCAGGGCATGGGGCTATCCCTCAATGTGACTGTATTTTGAGATGGGACCTTTAAGGAGGTAATTAAGAGTAATGATACAATAAAGATGACACTCTAATCCAGTAAGACTGTTGTTATAGAAAGAGTAAGAGACAACATTTTTCCCCCTCTTTCCATAAATTCACCGAGAAAAGGTCATGTGAAGACAGTGAGAAAGTGATTTTCCAGAAGCCAGGAAAAGAGGCCTCACTAGAAAGCAGTCCTGCTGGCACCTTTATGTTAGACTTCTAGCCTTTAGAACTGTAAAGAAATGAATTTCTGTTGGTTAATTCACCTACCCAGTGATATTTCTGTTATGGAAACCTGAGCAGACCAATACAAACCTACATATCCAGGAAGGATGACAAAATAAATCTTATCAAGATAAATCTGAGCAAAATAAACTCAAAGAGAGCCACACTAACACACATTATAATCTGTTAAGAGACAAAGAGAAAATCTTGAAAGCATCTGAAGAGATGCAAATAATACACAAAGGATCTTCAATAAAATTAACAACCGATTTCTTATCAGAAATCATGGCTACCATAATCAGTGGCTGATACATTTAAAATGCTAAATAAACAAAAAATTGTCAACCAAGAACTTTATAGTCAGCAAAGCTATTCTTCAACAATATGGGAAAAGTTAAGACATTCCTGGAGAAACAAAAATTAAGAGAGTTTGCCATCTATAGACCTATTCTGCAAGAAATGATACAGGCAATTTTTCTAGCTGAAATGTGAGGTACATTTCTGATTTTAAAAGTCATTACAAAGTTGCATTAATCATAGCAGTCTGTTACAGCTTTAAGGACAGACATGTAAATGAATGGAATAGAATAGAGAGCCTAGAAGGAAATTCTAACATACAGATTTTTAACAAGAGTGCCAAGATCATTCAATGGGAAAAGAAAAATCTCTTCAATAAATGGTGCCGGACATCTGGATAACCATATGCAAAAGAATGAATTTGAACTCCTACTTTACTCCGTATACAAAATTAACTAAAAATTGATCCATGTGAAAACAATGAAAGAAATTTGGAGAGCAGTAAGAGAAACTAAGAAATAATAATAACAAAAGACAAAACAAAGAGAAATAAAGAATGAAGAAAGTGAAAACAACATATAGTAGTTGTGAAGGAATGAAAATGGAAGAAAAAAGAAATAATGACAGTAAACATAAGAAAAGAGTTAGATAGTGGCATAGCAATGAAAACACTATACTCTTCAAGACTGACATACATGGGGAGATTCTGGGTTCATGTTCAAAGATCTGCCTGATTATACTAGGCATGTGCATGCCCATGATCTGGGACTGCATTATTTTGATGTGCCTGGAGGAGCAACAAATCACTTTCCCAGAATGATGCAAAATGATTCTCTGCAAATTTATTAGGCTTACTAAATATAGAAGAAAAATCACCTTTTGAGGATTCTGATTTCCTAAAGTTGAACTACATCAGAAATTAAACTTTAGGATCTAGAAAAGTGATTAGTTGATGTTACCACAGTACTTCACATAATTCAATCATTTCAGGTATTACTCAGGATTGTAATATACAGAGCTTACTAAGGACTCTGTTTTTTATTTTAAAGTTGCTGGCCATAATGTAAAGATTTGAATGGCTCCAAAAATTTTACTGTAAAATATGTTATACATGGGGGCCAGTCAGTGGTATAATGGTTAAGGTGCTGGATTCCAACATGGTCATTCATGGTTCAAGTCCTGGACTCAACAGCTTAAAAATCACACTGGACACATATGTGTGCATGCCCAAAATCCCAGGAGGAGAATGGAGAAGAGATTGTGACATGTCCATCCTTCCTGGGGAATGATTTCTCACTTCCCTTGCACTGTCTCTATCTGGCGAATGCATGCTCCCGATGGCAAAAAACCTTAAAAGAAAATTATACATGATATATAGAATGTAAAAATAACAAACACGGTATATTTATATGTAATAATTTAATTAATATCAGTAATTCTGAAAATCTGTGTGTGCTTCTGTAGATTACCATATTCTTCCCTTTCACCAGGGCAAGTAATTCTTCAATATTTCATTTATAATCCCTTTGCCTTTCCTTATAGATTTAACCAAATTATGTTTTGTTAAAATATTCATACTTACATAAATTAAATATTTGCATTCACTCTCTATGGATTGAATTTTTTTATCTTCAAATATATTTTTGTAGAATTAAGGAAGCTGAAATTTATAGCTATATAGTTAATTCATTTTTTCTGCTTCATTGCATTGTTTTGTGCATATATTTTACTTTCTCATCTGTTTTCAAGTTGCTAAACATATGGTAAATGTATTTTCAATTATTTTTTATGGCCCTAAATACCATAATAAGTAGATGTCTATGTGAAGAAAATTGATTAATGACCTAAATATCAGAGCTAAAATGATAAAAGTATTAGTTGGGCCAGCCAGGTGGAGTAGTAGTTAAGGTAGCTGGATCCTACATGGTCAACTTCACAGTTTGAGTCTCAGATCCAGCAGTTTGAAAAACAATCTGGATGTGTGTGTGTGTGTGTGTGTGTGTGTGTGTGTACGCACATGTGTGCACAGGCACACATGTGCACTCTAAATCTCTAGAGGAGAATGGAGGAGAAGGAATTTCAGCATGGCCATCCCTAATAGGGGCTGCTTTTTGTCTCTCTCTCCAGTAAGCACATGTGCCCTATAGAAAAATAAAATGTTTAAATGTTTTAGATGAATATATAGAGATAAATCATCATGACTTCAGATATGGCAATTGATTTTTTTTTAAGATTTTTCCTATGGGGTGCAAGCACTCACGGGAAAGGCAGACAGAGAGAGAGAGAGAAAGAAAGGCGGGGGGAGTCATCCCTAAGGGGGGTGAGAAGTGGCTATGCCACAATCCTTTCTCCTTCATTCTCCTCACACATGCACCTGGTGTGAGTTTCAAGACACTGGGACTCTGATCACAGTAAACCACGTGAGAGTCCAGCACCTTAACCACTATGCCACCTGTTGGTTCCGTTGCAATGGATTCTTAAGTTGATACCAAAAGCATGAGCAACAGAACAAACAGCTGAATCAGACTTCCTTGAAATTAAAAACTTTTGTGCATCAAAGGCTATTATCGAGACAGTGAAAGGAATCCCAAAGAATAGGGGAAATAAAAAACACTTGCAAATCATGTTATCTGATAAAGGTTTAGCGTCTAGACTATATATTTAAAAAAAACCTCTTACAACTCAACAACAAAAGATAAAGCAACTGGCTTTACAAATGAGTAATGGAGGGGCCAGTAGGTGGCGTGGAGGTTAAGGAGCTGGACTCACACATGGCCAACCTCAGTTTGAGTCCTGAACCTGGCAGCTTGCTGTCTCATTTTCTCTCTCTCTCTGTCTCTCTCTGGTAAACACACCTGCCATACAGCAAATTAAATAATAATAATAATAAATAAAATTAAATAATTTTTAAAAAGAGTAAGAGAGGCCAGCCCTGTGACCTGTTGGTTATGAGTATCCAGATCTCACATGATTAACTGTGCAGTTTGATTCCTGGCCCTGGCATTTTGACAAACACCCTAGGCACGTGTGTATGGATGCCCCAAATCCCAACAGGATAGAGAAATAGAGGAGAAGGCATTGTGGTGTGACCATATCCCATGGAAGGTGCTTTCTCTTTCTCCCTCTCTGTCTTTCTGGTGAACACATGCTGCCTGCCTCTGGCAAAAATAAAAAACAACTAATGGACTTCAAAAGTCATTCTTCCAAAGAAGATATACAAATGGCCAAAAAACACATAAGATGGCCAAGTTCATCTGTCATTGAAAAAATACAAATCAAAATCACAATGTGATACCAGTTCACATCCTCACACACAGTGGAATAGCTAAAATCAAAAAACGAAAATAACATGTGTTGGGAAGGATGTAGAGTAGAAATGCTCATATAGGTAGAAGTGTAAAATGGTATAGATAATAGTTCCTCAAAAATTTACTTAGAAATACTACATGACCTAGCAATTCCATTATGAATATACAAAAGAGAAATGAAAACATATGTCCACACAGATTCTTGTACACAAATGTGTATAGCAGTATTATTCATAATAGCTTAAAGGTGGAAATAATCCAAATATCCATCAATGAATGAATGAATAAACAAGTTGGAATATATACGTAGACTAAAATATTATTCAGCCATAAAAATAATTTAGCAGTGATGCATCCTGCAACTTAAATGAATATAGCAAATATGTTAAGTGAAAGAAGCCAGACACAAAAGGTCACATATTATATGATCCTTACATATGAAATATTCAGAATGGACAAATCTATAGAAGATAGAAGCAATCATTAGTGATTGCTTAGGGGCAGAAGAGGGGAAGATGTGATTACTTAAAGAGTACTGGATATTAATTTGGAGTGACTGTGATTCATTCATTAAATTAATATTTAAGGGGGCTGGCAGGTGGCGCAGTGGTTGAAGAACTGGACTCCCACATGCTGACTGTGGTTTGAATCCTGAACCTGGTGGTTTGCTTTCTCTCTCCCCCCGCCCGCCCCCTTCTTTCCCTCTGTCTCTCTCTGGTCAAATTAAAGAATAATATGATAAATTAAATTAAATACTCCTAAAGGAAAAACAAATCTTTCAAAATCAGCTAATATTCTCATTTTAAAGTAGGTCTCCATTCCAAACTATGGCAGACACTACTAGTTGTTCCCAAAACATCCTTCCTTCTTCTATAATGGTTTTTTCCCTGGACACATTTCTACCTAGCAAAATACATTTGTCAACCTTGTACGTTCTAGTCAATGAAGTCTGTATAATTTCCACGACTTTCTTTACCCTTACCTTTATCCCTTTGTTGTTGGAGTTTTATTTATGGTTATACTATTTTATTTGTGGTATGATTTGGAATAAACTGTTTTTAAACTGAAAAATGATGGAAATATTTTCAATGAGTGTTGAAATTCTGTTTCTATGCCTAGTTCTCAATGCTTGTTGAATAAGTGATTCAATATTGCACTCAATGCCCTGGTTTTAGAAAAGTTAATTATTTAAGTTTTTCCATTGTTGAGACAGACAAAGGGAGTAAAAAAGGGAGAGAGAGAAATGGGCACTCTCAACAGGGTCTTTACACTGATCCACAACCCCCAGCTTCAGCCAACCTGGGATCACTGCTTTCCCAGTGTTTTAAGGACATCCCTGAGTGCAAACCCAGACCTGACCATTTGGATCAGCTTTACACAGCATTGCCTTACTGCTGTGCCATCTTCCAGCTCTAAGACCCCATATTTAATTATAAAAGACTGAAAAATATTACTCAAACGCTTTTATTCCATTTCATTGGCAAAAATATTCTGAAAACTATGTATTGGTAGGCATTTTCAAACATAGCAATTTTAATCAATATTTAATCAAATACAAGCAAATTTAATTTTATATATATATACCTGATCATATAGGCAGCAAGTCTCCCAGTTCCTCAAGAACTAAGTAAGGTTGCCAGGCATATATCACTACCACCAACTTTTAATGGCTCAGCCTAAGAAATAAAGTATGAAATCAAATTACTATCTATATATAGTGTACATTTGATTGAAAATCATATTGAACCATAATGTTGATATTCAGTTTTTTTGACATTCCAAAATAAAAATTTCATGTAGCACAAACTAAATATACTTAGTATTAAGTACCATGTTTAAGAAATAATATGATAATGGGGATTCCAAAGCATCCCAATTTTCCCTTATATCTCCTGTTAGGCGTATGGCAGGCATTTTTTAAAAATTTGACAATCCTATGTCTCTCCTACATAGCATTTATAAATAGTAGCCTAAAGCTAATATAAATTAGCATTTATGTTTTGTTAGTTATTCTAAGGGATTAATATGAATAATTAAACGTTTCTGATAAGGAATATACTGGAAGTTACTTTGAGTTCCTCGATTATCTAGGTCAGTGATTCTAAACTTTAACACTCAGAACAGTAATCAAAGAACTTAAGACACAGAACTTTGGGCCCTATCTCCAGAAATTCCGATTCAGGTCAGGGTGGGGACCCATGATTTTGACTTGCTAACAAGCTTGCAAACTGTGGTAATACTGCTGAGTACTAACATCTACTGATCTGGGTAGTGAAGAAACTTGCTTGTCTGCCTGCCTGCCCACCTGCCGGCCGGCCGACCTTCCTTCCTTCTTTCTTCTCTTTTCTTTTATAAAATAAGGTTGGCAAGTATAATATAAATTCCTTAGATTAAAACATGGTCGGGCCAAGAGAAGTTAAGATGGCTAGATCCCAAATGGGCAACTAAGCGGTTGGAGTCCCTGACCTGGGGCCTGAAAAACAGGCTGGGTGCCAAAATCCCCAGAGGAGAAGGAGGTGTGGTGTGGTCACTCCCCCTGGGAGCGATCTCTCTCTCTCTGGCGAGCGCACACGCGTTATAGCAAAAAAATAAATAAATAAAAAAAGCTGCTTTGATTCAGTTACTAAAGTCCACAATTTCAGGACAACTAACTCCAAGGAGTTTATTCACCCGACCGCGCTGGAGGACAAGGGTTGCCCCAGCCTCGCTCCTGGCGCTCCAGGCCCGGCCACTCCGCCGAGTTATCAGAGGCAGCGCACCCAGCTTGACAGACGGCTGGAGGCTCCAGATAGGAAGCGCGCGGGCGCCAAGCCGGGGGCCGAGGCGGACGGCCGCGGTGCTCCAGCACAGCGCCCCCGCGAGCCGGGTCTCCAGGGCCCTTCTCCGCGCTGAGGCGGCGGGCCCGCCGGAGGGCGCCCCC